GTATGCACACTCTCATGCTGTTTCAAAGTCAGTGTGTTTTAGCCAGTTTAGTAACTCCTCAGCTCCTAAATAATTGCATGACTTCAGAAAAATTTCACTTAAAAGTCACACCCACACATGGTAAACAAGCTAAATTGTCTGGTATTCTTACTCTACCAAAAGTAGCTGTTGATCTAAAAAGATTTTGTTCAGACTGACAGTGCTTCTGAGAGGCCTTGGTGGGTGTGTTGTCATTCCACTGATTCTCATCTAAGATAGCTGGAAAAGCTGGAATGCTGTCCTCATTCGCTGTAAGTAGGTATGGTTACCTACCTCATATGGTAACTTAAAGACTAATTATGTGCAGTGCTACTGACTATTTTCTGTCTGTTTTGATTAACATCCCAGCATCCCAGTTGTGAACTTCAAAGTGAATTTGTTTGGTTATGCAAAACAGATGCCTGCCTTAATGAATGGTTTCAAACTAAGAACAACTGATTTAACTCCCTGTTGTGGTTTAGCCTCAGTTGGTAACCAAGAACATGAAGCTGCTCACTTGCCCCTCCCCCCACCCCCATCCCATTCTGTCCCCAAGGTGGGATGGAGAGAGAATTGGGGGAAAAAAATCATGCCCTGAGATAAAAACAGTTTAATAGAAAAGCAAAGGGAGAGGAATAATGACATTACTGATAAAGGAATATACAAAAACAAGTGATGCATAGCGCAACAATTGCTCACCACCTGGTGATCAACAGCCTGTGTCTGAACAGCGATTCCCACGCTCCGTCCAACTCCTCTCAGCTTATATACTGAGCATGATGCTTTATGGAATGAACTGTCCCTTTGGTCAGTTTGGTCAGCTGTCCAGGCTGTGTCCCCTCACAGCTTGTAGCGAAGAAGCTGGGAACACACAGGCAGTATCAAAAACTGAAAGAGTCCTTGGCTTAATGTAAAAATTGATTGGCAACAACTAAAACATCAGTGTTATCAACACTGTTTTAAGCACAAATCCAAAACAGAGCCTCCTACTAGGTACAGTGAAGAAAATTAATTCTATCACAGCCAAAACCAGAAGTCTTCCTAAGATCACAGCCCTGATGTGTTTGGTGTTATGGTTGGGTTTTTTCCCACTTCGCTATGTTAGTGATGCTAGATCTTGTCTTTCTAACTAGCTTTTTTTTTTTCTCTGTTCTTTGGTTCTACTAGATGTTTTGGATCCGGAGAGATTAGTACAGTGTCCGTATAATAAGCACCATCAAATCAGAGCCTGTCGGTTTCCCTATCACCTTGTAAAGTGTAGGAAGGTAAGCTGGTCTGCCAAACAGGGCACTGAGTAGGAGTAATTTTCTATGTGTAAATATGACACATGTTCTTGCTTTTGTTATCAGTAAATTCCTGCCTTGTTTAGGCTTTTTTTTCATATAACTTTATTATTTGTTTAGTAATAGTTTCAAGCACACATTAATTCACTCAAGGCCAGTGTGGCTCTTTTGAATGGAGATAGAGATTCTTCATTATTAGGTCAGGGAGGAAATTCTGGTCTCTTCCAGCAGCTCACATGGAGGTCAGATACTTTTTTCCACTTCAGGCTGGAGAACTGAGTTATGTGTACCCCTTCTGGCTAGTCAGAGCAGAAGTGTTGGGATGTTGCAATTCGATCTTTAAGTGCTGGAAATGCAGCTGTGTAGCAGGGGGTTTTGTTTGTTCTGCTAATAACTAATTTGCATCTGGTAGAAATTGCACATCCTGGTCTCAGCACATATGGAAGAGGGTTTTTTCCCATCTCCATCTTTTATCCAGAATTTGAATACAAATAATTTAATAGGAAACATTCCTTCCTCTCTTCTCTGTTGCCCTCATGGTTTAATTGTTTTCTTTAAACCTGTCAAGTGGTAACATCTGATTGAACTTGGGGTGTTTTCTAAGACCTTTTGAAAACCAACTGTTCCTCTTCAAGTTTGGCAGTATGTTTTTAAAATAGTATAGCACTACTATGCCTTCTAGTTAAGATGCGGTTGTAGGGTGTGCGTCCTGGTATCGATACTTAGAAACAATTAATTTTGGTGGAACTAATGCCTTAAAAAATATTAAGAAACAGGTAAAAGGGATGATCAGAACTAAATTTTAAGTACCTCCCTCTTTCCAGCATTCAAGAGAGACGAAATTTCCTTCTTGATTCCATGCAAATTTTGGCAAGAATGTGCATGTGAGCTGTGTGAACAATGTTGGCAAGTAAACTTTTAGCCATGTTGGTTTTGACTTTGTCCTGCATAACTGATGACCAGACAGTTTTGGCAAGCTTAACTAGTTAGGCTGATAAGACAGTGATCACTAGTCAGACAATCAGATGCAGCTGGTGTCTGTAAGTAATTGGAAGAAGAAGGGCTCAGGTATTATTATCTGATCCATCTGAAGATGCCATGATGTGATTATTTGCAGTGGCAAGCATCTGGGCAGAGATTGTCTTTCTTATTTGGTAGTTCATTGAATTCCCTTTGCATACCCTAGGCGTAAAATGTAATCAAATGCTTCCACCTGCCTCAGTTTCTCATTGCTTTGTGCAAAATGCAACCCTGGCACACAAATGGGGATATGGCAAGCAGAGCAAGTTGAATCCTCTCAGCTTGAGCTGTGTTAGCACTCAGAAGTTGCTGCTATGTGACCAGAATAGCTTTCTCAAGCTAGTTGAAGCAAATGATGGACACATGAGGACACAGCAATCTTGGCTGTATAGACCTGGTAATGAGAGCTGCCTTGGATGTGCCTGCAGCCTGTACTGCAGTCACTCCAGCAGCACCTGTGCAGGGCATTTCTGCCTCTGCATCTACCTCAGGTGCAAGTCTGATCCCTGACCAGCAGAGCTGCATCAGCCAGAACCAGGCAGGCACTGGGACAGTGGTCACATTGTGCCTTTCCCAATAAAGGCTGTATCGTGTGCAGGGTATGGACTAATTTACCATAGTGACAACTGAGCATTGCTACTAGAATCCGTGTTAAGAAGGTTTTACTCGAATGTTAATCCTGCAGCACCAAAGTCTGCAGGTGGAATGCTACCAACTCCCTAGCTGTTCTGAAAGGCTTAAGGAATTTCTCTGCCTTTGGTCCTGCTTATTTTAAAAATATCTGAATGGTTTCGGTTTTTTAGATCTCTCCCATATTGTTTTTAAAATATTTTCATCTGAGCTTTAAACCATGGAGCCATATTACCTGTATTGCAGAAAATTGTAGGGAGTTTAGCTGAGTGTATGATTGATTTCAGTAAACTCAAGGATGGCTCAATTTCTCAGTGAATTGTGTTTTAAAGAGCAGTCATGTTTGTTTCCCCTTGCATATTTAATTGTCTGAACAATATATTACCATTCCTTCTTTAGTCTGTTTTTTAAAGCAGCATTACAAATATTCTTCGGGTTTTTTTTCTATGGATTAGCAAGAGATAAGTGAACTTGAGATACGGCACATTGTTGTGGTTTAATCCCAGGCAACAACTAAGCACCACACAGCTGTTCACTCACCTCCCCCTCTCCTCCAGTGGAGAAGAATAAAAGGAAAAGACAAGAAAACTCCTGGGTTGAGATAAGAACGATATAATAATTGACTATAAATGAATAAAATAGTGATACTAATAATACAATACCAATATTACTACTATAATATGTAATGAAAATAATACTACCACTACTAATCATACTAGGTAATGAAAATATTGGAAAATAAAACAAAATATGCAATTGCTCACCACCTGCCAACCAATACCCAGCCAGGTCCCAAGGAGTGAGAGCAAGAGCCCAAGCAAGATCACACCAGAGTCAGAGCAAGCATTATGAGTGAGAAAGTGACCGAGATAGCCAACCAGTCAACACAGTCCACTGGCCCACCCCAAACTGATATGCTGAGCATGACGCTTCATGGAATAAAATACACCTTTGGTCAGTTTGGGTCAGCTGTCTGGACTGTGTCCCCTCACAGCTTTTTGTAGCAAAAAAGTTGGGAACACAGGTGCAGTATCAGAGGCTGAAGAAGTCCATGAATTGTCTCATTAACTGGCTCCTCTCTTCCCATCCCATCCTATACAGAGATCACTCCCTTAGTTTATGGACCACCTTTGCAAAATGCCCCTAAAATGTGCATTGAGTTCATTTAATTCATGACTTCAGGTTCTGTCGGGTGTGGGGTCACTCAGGACGGGAAAGGTGGAGTGTTGCGTGGGATCATTGGGCGCCAGAGCCAGCTCAGGTCAGGTCACTGCTGTACTTCTGGCAAGGCTTGATGTCTGTAGGTTCAGGTGATTACTGCTATAGTAATTCCTACAACACAAAACTCAGAACAGGGGTTATATACAGCAATTCATGTCCATTATGCAATTTTAATTCATGGGCTATTTTCAGCCAGAATCAAAACCCCTTGAAGTACACATCGAGTCCCATCTTCTCCCATTACCCACCAAGTGCACCCAGGTCTTCTTGGTTTTCCCTTGTCTAGAGCTACCCTGAAGTTGCAAAGAAGTTGGCCACGTGCCCCTTCAATGCTCGCCATCTAGTTCCTCGAGCTGACCTCAGCGATCATATAATGAAGTGCAATGACAAAGGTTTCATTGAGCAAGATACAGGTAAGAGAACCACCCATGATCTGAGAAGTTTGTTCACCCTGGGGACTGAGTTTTCCTGTTTGTAAGGATAGCTCATAGAATAACCAAAAAACAGGGATCAAATTATTGTCTAGAGTTTTACGTGGCATGGCAGCTTTTGGAAACGTGAGTCTTATTTGCTTTGATTTATTGGGTAGATTCATGAGAATATTGCAGATGCAGTTGCATCATAGGTAGGCGTTGCACATATTTTGTTACCAGGCTTGTTGAATAAAAATGTTGTTTCTTAGACTGCATATTTGAAGTACCTCCAGCAGGAGCTGCGATGCGTTAATGACTAGAAGGACAGGCCTTTATTTTTGTAGAGCTGATCTCCCTTTGTTGAGGCTTGGCCATTGGTGCCACGTGAGAAGTTGATTTCTACCAAACAGGTGTCTAAGCTATGGAAACCCCTGCAGTGTTGTCCTCCAGGGAACTTGAATGCTACACTCCCACCAAGAGATGGGGCAGTTCCTCTTCCTGGCTGCTCTGCTGCTGAACTTGCTTCATCTGCCATACAATTAAAGATTTCTGTCTCCTGCCTATTGAGACAAGGTGAGGGGGCTGCCCAAAATATTTAGGAAGACATCCTGTGCTATGCAGTGCCTCTTTCATCCCCTGCAGTGGCTCTTCAACTATTGCCATGCTACAGAGGAGATAGATGGTTTTCTCTCTTACGTCACACTGAGGCTAGCGGTGATGCCTGCAGCATTCATGTCAGCAGGTTTCCTCTTCTCTCAGCATTCCTGGAACAGTGTCCCAGGGGGCAGTCTTTTCCTGTTCACTGGAAAAGGGGAATTCAGAGTTGCTTGATTTCAGATCAGTATCTGGCACCTGGGTTTACGTAGCCTGTTTGCATTGTGCAGGGTTTCCTCTAAAGCCAAGAGCTGTTTTACAACTTGATCCAAAGCACTTAATGTCTCTGAAGCAGGATTGACTGCTAGTCACTGAGTTTTCTCTCTTCCTGAAGTGAATCAGTCCTCCGGCTTCCAGAGAGAGCAGATGAATGCTACAAGCACATGGCAGGCACCTCCATGTGATGAAGACTGGGAATCAGGTGAGGAGCTTCTGCCTGCCACACTGCTGCCTTCTCTCCTGTCCTATCCTTCAACACCGCTTGGACAGTGTGAGTCAAGAGATGCTGTTCACATAGGTCTCACTTGTAGGACAACTTGCTTATGCTCATTCCTGAAAACATACCTCTCTATACCCAGCAGGCTATTCATGGTATAGAGGACAGCTCAACATGCCTGCCGTAACTGTCATGGAAGATACACTTCCAAATGTTTACTCCTTCCCATATAAGCTTTTGTACCTTATAAGCAATGATGGCAATGGAAGCACAATAACTTTCATGTTCCTAGTTAAATGACAGTGAAGCAGACACATTCATCATTAGATGAACTTTTACTCCCTCTTGAACATGTAGAAATATGACAGAGAGATTAGTTGCTGGAGTTTCTTAGTTCTGAGCCACAACATCTGTTTCCTTTTGCAGAGTCGCTGGAGCAGTCAGATTCTCCTTTTGTTTGGGGCATGACCAATTCTGACATAAACAGGTAGCGAGCGCGAGTTTGATTCCTTACAGCAGTGTTTTGCGTAGAGCAGTATTGCAGACGACTCCCAACGAAGCCTTGATGGCTGGACATGGGCTGACTTTGTGGCTCCCCGGGAGGAGGGATACTGATGAAAAGTGAATGTTCTTAGGGTGCTGGTTCAGTGTTACCTGCTTTCTCATATGTCTGGCATGTACCAGAGAAGGAAGCCCTTAGGAACACAGATACTCCGTGCTCTTGTATGCGTGTGGCCAAGTGCTCTTTCTGCCCATGGTCTATGTTCAGTTCCTGCTGGATGTCTGGCCATTGTGCAGAGGAGAAACATGCTGAGTCTTGATGGTGACTTTGGAAATGTGGCCAGGTGCCTCCCTCTGGAGCTTTTTCAAACAGTTGCTGGGATTCTGTTGAGCTAATGGTTAGCTAGCAGTTAGACTTGGCAGATGTGCTGGCATTAGGGCCCTGTGTTAACAGAAATCCATCCCCTCTTGCCCTTTGCAAAATGTAATCACAGTTTAGGTTTTGGGGGAGTGAGGAGCTTAATGGCCAACTGTAAACTGGGTAGAACTGTGCTTTCATTGATCCAACAATGGATCATGATTGCAGGCTGTATACAAGATGTGGTGGTACCACCAGCATTGCTAAAGCATGTTTTAAGGTTTGTGTCAGCCCATATGCAGCAACAGTCCTGCACCTGACAGCTCTGTGGTTCTATATGAGCTCAACCATCATATACGTCTCCTTCCATAGCAAGAGTGACATCTGGTTTCACTTGTTACACTTTTTGGAAAACTATCTAGTGTTTAGAGTTGTGGTTTAGGCCCAGCCGGCACCAGGCAGCCACTCATTCACTACCCTCCCAGGGATGGGGAGGAGAAAATACAAGGAAAAGTTCATGGCCTGAGGCAAGGACAGGGAGGGATCATTATGGTAACGGGCAAAACAGACCTGACTTGGGGAAGAAAATATAAATTTAATCGCCAGTCAAATCAGGGTAAGATGAAACAAAAGAAGAGAGTTCTTAAAATTCTCCCTGGGCCTCCCCTTCCCTGGCAGCAGCAGCACAGGGGGCAGGAGTGGGTGTTTCCCAGTCGGCTCGTCACACATATGTCTCTGCTGCTCCTTACTCCTCAGCGGGAGAGAACTCCTCACATTCTTCCACTGCTGCTGCATGGGGTCCCTCCCATACAAGACAGTCTTCTACCAACTTCTCTGGCATGAGTCCTTCCCACAGGCTGCAGTATTCTCCTCTAACTGCTCCAGTGTGGGTCCCTTCCGTGGGTGTGTGGTCCTTCAGGAGCGGACTGCTCCAGCATGGGCTTATCACAGTCATGGGCACTGACTAGCCCAGCCATGGCCAGAGGAGGGTCTGACTTGGAGCTGGGGCAGCTTTGTATTGAAGCTTCTCACAAGAGCCATCCCTATGGCTCTTCCCCTGCTACCAAAACCCCCACCACAGAAACCCAACACAAGAGTATATATAGCTCTTCTAAGTACCACCGCCTCCAAGTGGCCAAGTATCATCCCCTGGTGTCCTTGTTCTCCTCCATGCTATAGTAAGATGCAAAAATTTGATAATTGCATTTGTCAGGTGAAGTGACACAAGTCTTTCATTTCCAGTACCATCTCCGAACAAAAAAATTACTTGCCTTCAGGAGTACGTGCCCCTGAGTCCTTCCCATATGCCATATCGTGGAAAGGCTGTAAGTACTATGCGTGTGGCTTTGACACCGTGATTTCCATAGATGGGTTACAGGTGCTGAGATCTGGCTGCAGTAGTGGTTTATGGACACTGCTGCAAGGACAGGACAGGTAGTATGTAACATCTGTCTCCTTGAGAGCAACTTCTGAGGGAATCTAATGCTTGGATCATCATCTGTAGTTCGTATTCTTGACAGGCCCTTCATTACAGTGGTCCAGTTTAGGCAGCCCTGCTCCCCAGCCGCTTTGGTTCTCTTGCTAAACAAGTCTTTCCTCACCCACCCCCTCACACTTAAACCAAATGATTTCTAGGCTTTGTGCAGCTCTGCTCACTCTCAGATGCAGCTGGGTCAGAGCAGCAGTAAAACCAGGGCTGCCTAAGCCCGCACTGCAGGGAGAAAAAGCTATCAAACTGCATCTGGAGGTGGGAGGGAGGGAGCTTCCCCTGCTGAAGTGGCTGATGCTGAAATCGCAGACCGTTATTTGCTGTTAGCTGCAAAGCAAATGCTTGAAGGTGCTTTGAGGAATTCCCTTCTTGTTTCCCACCTGTAGCAACTAAACCTGGTACTTGGGGCTTTGCATGGCTTCTGCACAGCCAGTGACTGCAGCTGGCATAGGGTCAGGTTGAATCTGCCAAATCACATTAAAATGTTACTCATAGGTAAGCGTTGTTGCCGAGGTGACAAGTGCTACTTCAGCAAAGGCCACTCTCACTTTGTGGAGTGGAGGAAATTCTTGTAATTTTCTCCCTCTTGTGCTAAAAATGTCTTGCCCTTTTCAGAGTTTGGGGTATTCATGTTTCTTCCCTGTGGAAGTTCATTCCCATACAGCAATAAATAGTTCTCTTTTAGGACCCTAGAGCTCCTGCGGGAGGTAGATACGTCCTGGACCTGATTGCAGGACTCTGTAGACTTGGCTGTTACTGTATGACTTGGTTTTGCAACACCTGAGTTTTTAAAATCGCCCTTGGTTGTCAAATCTTTTCCCAAGCATTTTTTTCATAAGTTAACCTCATCTTTGTTTAGTGATCTTTGTTACTGGTTTTGGGTAAATGGCCTAGTAAGTTTACGCAGCACTGACTTTGAAATCTTCCCTTCTTAGGCAGCAGCCAGTAGGTAACACTGCAGGAATTGGCAAGGCTCTGGCGGTTCAGTTGTCAAATGGCAGAGCTGATGATCTGCGAAGTTCTGTTTGCTCCAGTGATTTGGGAACAGCAGGAGAACTCTTTTGAAGTAGTGATCAGTTTTAAGTAGATTTAGATGATTTCAAGTAGAGGAGGAAGGGTCTGATTAGGAACAGCATGAAGGGGTTGGACATACCACTAAAATTTTGTCTCTTAGCCTCGTGCTTTAAGACAGGAGTGTGCATTTGCAAGAGGCCCCTTCAGGGTTGTCCAAGTGTGATGTTTTGTGCTAACTGTAAACAAAGGGATTCCATTAGGGCTTTTGAGGTTTTCTAACACTTTAAATAAGTTTGACAGCTCTAATGTAATAGTTCTTTGATTTTTGGGCGTGGGGGAGGCAGGAATGGTTGAAGTCACCAAAAACACGTGTTCGGGACTGTGTAGATGTTTGGATGAAGCAGTATATTCCTAAAAATGGATGCAAAGTATAGATGGGCTCTAAAGATACAAACACAAGGAATTAAGAAACCAGACATGATATTTGTCTAGAAAGAAGTAAGTATCTTTCACATTCTGGAAAGAATGTTCCTCAAAATACTGAATTTCCACCATTTGTATTACTCCCAGTGTAAAATAATACATGTTAACTAGAATGGCAAAATTAAAATTATTTTAAAGATTGGTTCTTTCAAGGTTCTTGTTGGCAGTTTAGAATAAAAAGGTTATGGATGCATTGGATGCATTTTATATTTCTGAAAGATTTCTGTAGTGATTTGTTATGCTCTTGTTCTGCTGAATAACTAAATGCTTACACACTAAGTCCTCAACTCAACCTTCATTTGATTATTTTTTTGTCACTTTGAATGAAAGTGGTAATAAATGTCAGCTGTTTGATTGGTCTGGTTTGACTGCAGTAGCTTATTTCCAGGGTTTGTAGGCCAGAGCATTATAATTTTACAGACATACCATAAATGGGCCCCATTATTCTAAGTTTATTTAATTACCAGCTGGGGAAGGACTGGAAGTATGTAGTGCAGTACCTCCTGCTTTTTCTTGGGTCTCACCCCACTTGTCTACACTGCAGAGGAGGTGAGTTTTGGGTGTACCTGCTCCCAGGAGGCACATTATCCCAGGCCCCAGCTCTTAGTCAGGGTGAGTCCTGCGAGAGCAGCGTTCTCCAACAGCAATGCCTTCCTAAAAAGGATTAGATGGGCTTGGAAGGTCACGGTTGGGACTTCAAAACACTCCCTGGACACAATAATCAGGGATTGGGACCACAAGAAGTGGGTTTGTCTTGTAGGGTAGGTGCAGCCAACTAATGACAGAGCTCTGAGATCTGAAATCCTGTATCCTTCTGGGGGAATTCCTCAAGTGCTTCCTGTATGCACCACTGGCTGCAAAGAGCAGGAACCCATCATTTTACTATTCCATGCAGTGACTTGGGAGTGCAAGATTAACAGGCTGTAAGGATGTAAAACACAGATGCCCCTCCTCCAGCATTATGACTACTTAAAATGCCAGCATTGTCTGGCATTGGGGTGTTGGGATGAAGCTCCCTCTCACTGTTTTGTACTTAGCGCCAGACAAGGGGTGTTTTAAGAAGTATGCCAAATGGCACCTACTCCAAGGTGACAAAGCAAGGACTTTCATGTGACTATCCCTGTGGTCACAGCCACATACTGCTATGTCAGATCCTTGGTCTCTTTTATGGTGGGAAGGCTGTGCAGTGCTGCAGCCTTCACCCTTTCCCTGGAGGCTGGATGTGTCCTTGCTAGGAGAAGCTGGTGGGATGTGGGGAAACATAAGCCCCTTTGGGCCTGCCAGGGGAAGCTTCTGAGCACATGCCTGGGTAACTGCCCCCAGCATGTTCTGGGCAGCTTGGCAGTGCTCACGCTGAGCACGCCTGTGGGTGCACCCTGCCTGCTGGCTGTTTCTGCCTTGGCTGAGCTACCAGCGCTGTGACAGTAGGACCAGTCTGACTAGAAATGCCTACGGAAATTTGGGCTAGAAATGTCTGTGTCTGCAGCTGTCACTGGTGACTCAGGAGTGAGGGCAGGAGGCAGGTTTTACGTTTAGGTGCAGATTCTCTGTGTTGGGGAGCCTGGACACACTGGAGTTCGTTGTTGTTTCTCCTGGTGCTGGCAGCCCTCTGTGGTGTCTGATGGCTCTCCCCACCCTTTATTTGCACCCAGCCGCCGGGGTGCAGCAGCTCTGCTCAGTGGTGAAGTGCACCCGTGCTGCCGGTGCAGCTCCCAGACCCTGGACATGTAGGCGTCTGATTTGTCCCTGTGGCTTGCTGTACAGTTCTGCACAGACTTTCTCCATCTGAAGGGCTGAGCCTGCACTGCAGGACCGCCCCCCCACTGTTGGGGACAGCAGCACAGCAAGGTGCACAGGCCTATGTGTGTCAGTGGGGAACCAGATTTCTTCCCTCTTCTGGGCTCTGTGTTCCACCTGTGCTGTGATCTGGTCAGTGCAGCCATCTCCCTACCCTTCCCTCTGTGGGACCCCTTGTTTGCGGGATCCTTCCTGAGTCAGACCGTCTTCCACACTTCGGTGGTCTGGTCTGTGGTGCCCAGCTCCCCTCTGCTTGGCTAGGGGCTGCAGCGGAGATGCCATGAGCAGAGCCTTCTCCCACTTCCCACGCTGTCCCTGCTGTTCTCATCTGCAGGATGCACCACTTGCTTTCCCTCAGCAGAGGTGCAGTTCACTGGCACAGGCAAGAAGTAGCCTTTCTCCAGCCTTCCCTCTCCTCCTACCAGTTCCAGAGCACTGAGGAAGGAGTACACCCCTCTCCTCCTCACACAGTTTAGTTTAGTTTTCACTTCGCTGTGCTGAGGGAAGAAGGAGGAGCTCTGCCCTCAGCCGCACACCTTTTTGAGGTCAAGGTCAGGATGGATGACTTTGGTTCTTACAGGCTGCTCTTCTGGCACTCAGTGGTTTGCACTGCTGAGGTCTCTGGGCCCTTTGTGGCTGATGCCAGGAGTCCATGTAATCCTGTAGTCATAGCCACTGGGACCCCTTTCTCCTGTTCCACTCCACTTCCCCTGTGATCTAGAGATGAACATGGGGTGCCTATAATCCCCCAGAGATGCGCTCATAGCTGCAGTGTGTCCATCTGCATGATTCGCATCCAGTAGTGCAGATACAAGACCCGTTTGTTCCTCCCCCAGCAGCTCAGACTGCTCTTTTCTCAGTGCTCCCTTTGGCTAGTGGGGATTCTGGGTAGTTGCGTGTTATTCACAGCCAATATCTGGAAGACCAGAACTGTCTAGTGTCCCCCTGTCAAAGGGGGCAGGGATCCTTGTTACTGCGAATAAGCAGCTTTGAATCTGATCAGTTAAATCCTGTTTAGTTGCTCTCGTAAGCCAATCATCACACATAAATACAGGGTCCTGAACTATATTGAGTCCTGCCCTATGCAAAAGGGAAGAGGGAGAGAGAAAGAGAAGGAATAAGGAAGACTTTCCATCATGGGGGTATTTACAAGCAAACTAAGTGCTAGAGGAGGGGGAGAGCGACATCTACCTGGTGGGACAAAGAAAGACCAGCTGCAAAAATACCCAGTTGTACCTGTTCTGGAAGGTGAACAAGCTCCTGCTGTTGTTTTGCCTTCAGAGTTTTATTTCCAGCTCCTTTGTCTGCCCCATGGTCAGGAAGGCTGGAGAAGAGCTGGGTGTGGTGGTGGTGGTGGCCAGGCTGTCCAGAGACTCTCTCCAGAGACTCCAGCCTTCCTGTTCTAGGTATGCCCCTTGCATTGCAGCAGCAGTTCAGTCTGGGTTACACTCATACCTGTGGTGTTCCCTTTCACTTCCCAGGGAACCACCTCCTGCTTCTGAACTTCAGGTTTCAGCAGGCCAGAGTGCCTGGGGTTACTGA